TATTTCTATTATTATTATTATTATTATTATTATTATTATTATTATTATTTAGGGGTCTCTTTTCACCACTTACTACCAGAGTATGTGTGGAGACAGTACCCAGCATATGTCAGTTTAACTAAAAGCAGTTATTTTAATTCATGGCCCTTTCTCCAGCAGTCAGCAGGATGCCTTATTCATTTGCCAGCAGGAGGGTAAATCTATTTCAAAATGATTGAAATATTATGCACAGCTTGAATGAATGTTTAAAATAAATACAGTAGAAGAAACATGTTGTTTGTGAAATGAGAAGATAAATTAAGTTCAGTGCAGACACGTTATTCCCAAGCCTGGCTGCTTGGCTTTCACAGCAAAATCCTTCAGGCCTCAATCCAGCAGCAAATATGTGGTGTGATTTCCTCTCCTGGAGGAGCAGCACTTTCCCTCCAGACCTTTGGAGGGTTTGGACCAGGCTGTTGCCTCCACAGCATCTTAGGGATGGGCATGTGCAGGGCCAGGGGTGGGACTCGCTGATCCTCGTGGGTGCCTTCCAACTGGGAATATCCTGGGATTCTGTGCTCCACTCTTGGAGGGACTAATGGCAGGATGGGCAGACAGACCCATCTGCCTCTCATCCCATCCAGGGAGAGGAGAACCCTGAGCCCCGAGCAGAGCTGGAAAAGCGAAACCCTGTCACGGGGGGGTGGGGAAGGAACCAGCCTTTGTTTTCCAGTATCGGGCCTGTGGTTCCCTCCAGCCACTTCTGCACAGCAAGATTAAATTTATTTTCATCCTCTTAACTGAACTTGCTTTTAATGGCAGTGGGGGTGACAGCCCCCAAAATAGAGTCCCCGTGGAGCCTGTCCTGCCCAGCCCCGTGTCTCTGATAACCCTTCCCCGGCCTGGCCTTTATCTCTGCGCTGACAAACAGCTCTCCCTGGACAGAAAGAGGAAATTCCACTCATTGTTGAGCTGTGCTGGCCCTGCTGCAGCTCTATCTCCTGCCTGCTCGGGGCTGGCAGGGCTTCCTGAGGTGACAATCAGCGGGAGGCTCAGGGAGGAGGGGTCCAGGCCAGGATTCCCAGTAAGTCCCAGTATGAGCCCGCACTAACAACAGGTATCCATCCCTGCAGGGTCATCCAGCAGCTTCTGTTGGAGTTGTGGTAGCACTTCAAACTTCTAAAAATTCAACAGCACCTCCTCGTGCCTGTGCTGCAGACACATGGCAAAAGGTCCAATACTTGGGTCGTGAAGAGCACTGAGGTTTAGGATTTTGAAATGGTTTTCCAAGGGCACTGCCTGAAAGTGCATTTTTTTAGGGATTCTCTAAACTTTGGATGGTGTACACCACCTCCTGGACAGGCACTGGATATGACTTGATTTATTTTTCCCACTAGCACTAACATCCCAAACCAGCTTTCCTTAAATCTGGAATTTTCCCTGGTTCCTCGTTGCATAGCTGGGTTTGACCCTTCAGATGGATTTTCCCTATTTTGGTCCAGTGAAGGTATTTCTTTTAAGGGCACCTTGGTACATCTTGGGGTGAGAGGTGTAGCTTTTAAACCTTGAGTTCTGCCTGTGCTGCCTTCTGGGGAAATCACACCCAGGGAACTGCACAGGAAGCCAAGAAAGGAAATGCAGCAGCAGCTCTGGAAGGGACTGAGCAGCCTCTCAGTTCAGATGAGCCTGGGAGTCCTGACATCATTTCACTTCCCTGCTCCCTCCTGGATTTCTGTGCATGGCCACTGATCACTCACTGTCTGCTTGAGGGATGAAAACTGCCCTTCCAGGGGGTTAATCTGCAGGGCACTAAGGCTGGAGGGGCTCAGATACTCTGGTGGCCGGGACTGTAAAAATATATTTACAGTTGGCACTGCTGGTCTGCAAGGCTGCAAAAACAGTACAGTTAAAATATTGGGTGATACATGTGGATTACCTGAGAGGCCTCAGCTCCTGGTTCAATATTCCACAGTTCTGGCCCTCCTGCAGCACTTTCAGTAACTGATGTGTGCTGAGGACAGAACTTGGAGTGCTGACCTTTCCATCCAGAGGTGAAGAAGGGTGTGACAGTGGGGCCTTAAGGAGAGGAAAGACTGAGACAGCTGAGAATTGGCTTTTAAAGTGCTTTAGTGACATAATTGTTCATACCATTGTTCTCTGTACAGTGTGTTTATGTCCCGTGTTACAGATGGTAAATCTGAGATACATGAAGTGATTTGTTCTGAACCAGCAAAGGAGTTGATGCTACACTGGGACTGAGACCTGGACACTCCTGGTTCCCAGAGTTTGATTTCCATGCTCACACTGTTCCTTTGCAGCATAACTTTCTCTTGCCATCATCTGACCTGCTTAATTCTCCCTTTCTTTTAAAACCACTCAGTCTGGCAGCTTTTAAACAATATTTCCATTTTACCACAGCATTGAAAATAGATGAGCTGACTTCCATCAAGGGAAAGTGTTCCCAAAAAACCTCCCTTTGCTCTACCACTTGAACTCTCAGCAACAGAACTATGTGAGGAAAACAAAAAAAAGGCTGTGAGGGGGTTAGAAATTCACCAAAAAGTTATTGAAGCTTCTTTTTGCATTTGAAACTTAAATGCCAACAGTTATACCCAGAAAATGTTCACCCCTGCTCAGCTGCCACTGAGCAGAAGGTGTTTCCTGGAGGGTTGCAGGTCTTGCTGTGGTGAGATGGATGGTTTGGGACTAAATCCGAAGCCAACTGTTGGTAGGAGGCTCCTGGGCTGTGTTTTTCTTTGAACAAGACCTCGGTGCTTCAAAGGGAAAGAAAATCTGTGTTTGCTTTGGGGATTATTTTGAAGGATACATCCAGAGCTGGGAATTTCCTCTCTCCTCCCAGTGGAGTGCTCTCTGCCAGGTGTGAAGCACTCAGTGTGTGCTCCATCTCCCCACCTTGCTGGACACTTGCCTTCAGATCTTTCCTTGTCCCGCAGCCATCCAGCTCCTGGGGAAGGGAAGGGTATCTGAGGGATGAGACAGTTGGGAATAAGCTGCAAAATTCCCCTCTTCCCATCGTGGCTCTCTGCTTCTTGTCTTTTCAGTTTTCATTTCCACTTGGCTGTTTTTTTCCCTGAAAGGAATCAAAGGCTTTCACAGGGGAGAAGTCCTATTTTGGAGTTCCAGATGGCAGCAGCACGGCCCCAGCTCTGTCTTTCCTGGTTTCCCAAGCACGTTCCATCCCTTCATGCTCCGTTTCTGTTGCTGTACCAGCCTCAAAGAAAGAAGGAAGGAATTGCTTCAGAATGTTCAAAAGTGCTTGAGTGTTCCCATGCCCAAGAGTTCATTTTCACAGAGGACTTTGGCAACCAGAAATGTACATTTTTTGGAGGTTTTGGCTCCTAAGTCCCCCAGGTTTCTTTAGCTTACTTTCTGTCTCCTCTATCTTTAACATGTCTTAAAGCTTCTTTCCATATTTTCAGGATTTTCAACACCCTTTTGTGCCTCTGGGAACTTGAGTTGGACATTCCAACATAGCAGCTTCATAAAATGTCCCACAGGTACAAAAATATAAATCCTATGAAATACATAGAGTGTAGTTAAATAGCATTCTGGAGATCACTGGTGTCCTGCTCCTCTTCGATTTGAGGCTTTTGAGAAAAGAAACGCTGTTTTAGAGTAAAAACAAACCTGTGCTTCTCTTTTGTTTCACTAAGTCATTAATCCTCTGGAGACTGAATTCTCTCTGACGACAGGGACAGCCCCACGAGTACCCAAACTACATTTTTGTGTCACTGGTTTCACTGACCTCCAGGACAAACCCAGGGTTGTCATAGCCTTTCTTCTCTTTGGCTTTAGCTTCTTTCTCGTTGTAGAGGCAGAAGGCACAGTGGGGGGTCTCCACAGCCACCGTCTTGCTGAAGTTCTGGAAGTCAACCCTGTACTTCCCTTCTTTGGTCTTGGACACGATGGGAGCGAAGCGGTAGCCCCAGAGCACCTCCTCGGGGATGTAGGACGTCCTCACCTGGCAGGTGGCACTGGTGGCTTCCACAGTGCCATCTAGAAACACCACCAGCTCGAAATCCTGCTGCAGGATGGTCTCTGCTGCCATGTGGAAGAAGGGGCTGTTCTTGTCGATGATGTGATAAATGGTTAGCGGGGAGATGAAGAAGAGATTCTCGTTGCCGGCGTCGACTACAAACTCTATGTTGACCTGGTCCAGGATGATTGTCTCTCCTTCTGGGGTGATGGTGGTCTTGAGGAGCTTCCCATAGATGTGGCTCCCGATCAGGAGGCTCTTCCTGAGGTTGGCCACCCGAATGAGGAGGCAGAGCTTCCCCCCACGCTTGCTGATGACAGCGTTCTTGCTGAAGGTGATGGTCTTGGCCCTGTTCTTGGACCTGGAGATCTTGGCCAAGATGGCCCCACACATGAAGGAGTTGATGATCACCCCCAGGATGGACTGGAAGATGAGCAGGAAGATGGCAGTGGCACATTGCTCCGTGACACACCTGAAGCCGTAACCGATGGTCACCTGGGTCTCCAGGGAGAACAGGAAGGCTGAGGTGAGGCCGTTGATGTTCTCCACGCAGGGGGTGTGATTTATGGAGGGGTTGAACTCGGGCAGGTCTTTGTGAATGTAGGCCACCACGTACCAGAGGAGCCCGAACAGAAACCAGCTGCCCAAGAAGGCTGAAATGAAGATAGTCATTTTGTATCTCCACCTGAGGTCCAGGATGGTGGTCCATATATCAATCAAAAAGACAAACCTGGACTGCTCCACATTGCCAAACTCGATGTTACACCTCCCATCTTTGGAGACCAGCCTGGCCCTGCGCCGGCTGCGCTCCCGGAGGTGGCTGGTGAAGCGTTGCCGGAGGTAGTTGAACATTCCCTCTGCTGCTGCTGCTGTTCTGGAGAGCGAGAAACAACAAACACGCAGGTTTAATTCGTACCTGCAGGGGAGAGGGAAATTCTGACAGAGTCTCAAGACGCTCGTTTAGGAAAAAGCGGTGTCATTTGCATATTTTCCCACAGTTGGTGGGGAAAGTCTCGGTAAGTGCGTGAGGAAAAGAACAGTTCCTTGCCTAAGGAGCATTCCAGCAAAAAAATAATCATTTTGGTTGCTCAGTAAACTCAGTCAACTGTTAATATTGTCCTCTGCATAGCTGAGTAAGTGGAAGCAGAGACAAAAGGTACCTTTATCATGGACATTTGTGGGGAAGACTGGTGGGGTGAGGTGTTCCTGCCTTTTAGCAGATGAGTCATGGCCTGTTTATGCGAGTGTGTGTGGTACCTTGGCATGAGGAGACCTGAGTGTGACCCGGGGAGCAAATGTGGGAAGAATCAAGGGTAGATGCAAAAGGTATAACTAAGCCAAACACAGAGTTATTTTTAGTGTACTTATAGATGGTGTTTAAAGGGGTGAAATTCAAACTCTGGATTCACAAAAGCACCTCAAATAGGATTTTTAGGTGAGAATAAAAGGGGAAACTAAATTTCAGCGTCAGGAGAATTTGGGGGTTTACCCACTGCAAAAGGTGATGCTGAGACTAAAGGATCAGATTCAGAAATCCTTTCTTAAAGGGTAACTCTGCATCCCTGTTGATTTTATCCTCTATGATTGGCCATGTTAACAAGGAACCCAGGGAATAAAAGCCACTGATGGAGAAAACACTACTCAGACTGGAGTATGGATCAGTCTGCATTGGAAAATTCCCAGTGTTGGAGTCACTCAGACACACGGACATGGGGACAGGTTGGTCTGCTGCAGAGTCAGGGGCTGCCTGCTGTGTTCACAGGCAGACCTGGGCCCTGACTTCGACCCAAAACTTAGGACTGTTCTTGGAAATAATTGATTTCTGAGTTCTCAGCCTCCAAGCACGTGTTTGGTTGCCAGAGAGGATGGTGGATGAGTGCACAGTGCTGACCCACCCCACGTTATTCAGCCTTTGCTCACCAAAACTCTTCTCGTGTCGCTGAATCAAAGCCTATGCTGTGATGGGGTGTCTTGGGGCAAAATGCTTCAGCTGCAAACAACTGAAAGAAGTGAAGGACCTAAGGGGAAAATATTCTCCCTGCTGCCTCAAACAAAGGGTGTTCTGAGCCTGCTGTGCCTCCAAGGATGAGTATCCCCAGCCAGAGAGCTGAACATTTTGGGGTCCTGCAGCTGCTGTGGGGGATGTTTTCTTTAGAAGGACCTGGGTTTGATGAGATGGGAGATGCTGAGAGCTTTGTAAGTGTTTGCTATTGTTACTTTAGAGCTGCACCACCCTTCCCAGTAGAAAGGGACAGTAAAAGAACCCTTAGGAATGATTTTTTTAGAGCAAGCTCAAGATGCTTCACCACTTATCTCAACCCTGCCTCATATCCCATCCCACCCAGGCTTCCTTTCTGGTTAGAGCAAAATGCTTGGGCTCAAATTGTTCTCAGATGGGCTGCCCAAATTTTGCTGGATTTCACGTGCTGAAATGCTTGTGGCAAGAATTGCTTCGTTCCCCTAAGCTCTAATTTCATGCACCCAAGATGGGGGTGATCCAGAGTGGTCCAACTGACACTGATGTGAGTTTAGTGGGGCATTTGTCTCATCTAACTTTAGCCATTTAAACATTTGAGAACTGCCTGTGCCAGCTGGGTGTTTGACTCCTGATTGATGTTTGACTTCCCTCTGAGGGTCCACTTGCCACAATATTTTCAGGAAGTTAAGAATTGCTGTTTGGCAATGTCCCCTTACTCTGTAGGCAACTTTTACTTGGCTAAACCAGAAATCCTCCCATTAGACATAGTTCCAAGGACCTTCAGATATGATAATCAGCAGCAAATAAAATATTAAACTACAGTGATGGAGCCCAAGCACGAATTAATTGCACGTTGTAAAGCTAGAAGTAAATTCTATTATTTAACGTCCCTGTAAGTTTTAGCAGCTCTGAGACTGAATTTGTTTCCGTGTCTCACAGTTGCCTTCCTTCTGCACTTAGGCTGAAATTGCCTCTCCCCTGCTCAATAAAATTAAGATGAAAAAAAAAAATGAAGGTCACTTTGTAACGTACCTTTTCTCCATTTGAAACTTTTGCTGTTGGATTTATTGGTTGCAAATGTGGCTGCCAAAGGTTAAACTTTAAGCGTGTACTCGAGGAAAGGGGAATGAGGTCACACTTTCTAAACAATTCTCAGCTTTTATTTTCCTGCCTCGCTTTCAAAATGTTCGTGCTAATGCATAGTTTGAGCAAAAATAAAATATTCCTGTGCAAGCAGCTATTAAAAAAAAATTTCCAGTGTTTACCTTTTGACACCCTTATTGTTCAGAAACATTCAGCTGACTCTGGTGTTCATTTCACAACAATAATGTGAAAATCGGCTTGGCCAGAACAGCAGGTGAAAATTTGGGATGCATCACCTTGTCCATCATAAGTTCCACATGGATTCCTTAGGCATAAAGAGGCTCCTAATCCCAGGGAATCAGGACTCTAATTTTCTAATTAGAAAGGATTTTATAAGGTATTAGGAACAATAGGAAAGAATCTGCAGGAATCTACAGGAATTCTGGTTTCTAATCTATCCATCTTCTCACTCTGGGGGTCATGATAAGTTGCTACCACAGTTCTGTTAGGTCTGATTCAGCCTTCCACGGAAACCCTTGGAAATTTGACTGAGGATCTGGACATATTGACCAGATAATAATCACAGAAGAGCTGAGAACAAGCCTGGAACCTTGAAAATAGATCCCCACTCTCCCCATCCTTCTCCTACCTCTTTCCACACCCTCCTCAGAGGCTGTTTCACAAGCCCTGCTGGAGCTCCCCCAGAGCAGATCAAAGAGGCAGAAGAATTACACCTTTCTGCAGGCAGGATGACAAAGGAATTCTCCTTTCAACAAATCTCCTGCTCCCACACACGGCTGAAATGTGTTGATTTGCTTCAGCAGGAGCGAAATTCCCTCCTGGAGAAGCATGGTGAGAGTATATCACTGACTGTCTGGAGGAGGTTATATAAAGCAAGTTATATAATACAGCAATTAGAGTCCTTTTCATTTAAATCAGCAAAGGTAGCCTGGCTACATCTTAGCTAATATTTACCAGGATATGTTTCCTGTTGGGCCCAAATAAACACAGTGTTTCTGTCTGTCTGTCTGGCGTGGAATTCCATTTTGCAGGAGTCAGCAAAGGTGTCCCCAGGCACAGCATGTTTATAGAGGGTTCACTGCTCATAGTCTTAATCTTAATCTGAAGTTCTTAATATGGCCTTTACCAGTGCAGCTCCTCAAGGAATAAACACGACCTGTCAAGGTGAGCTGTGAAAACAAGGAGCTTCCACCTCCCTGTCCCAGCCTCGTGTTTCCCCAGGATCACTGGAATAAGCAGAAACTCTCAGATCTCCATTCTTGGCTTTCCAGCTACTCCCTCCACCCGGAATGTTTGAGAGATGCCTGGAATTCAGCTGCTGTCAGATGTATTTCTATTTTCTCTCTGCTTTCCTGGGTGTAGGCAATGCCAATCATCGCAGCTCCTGGGAGCTCTGTCCCAGCTGGAGCTGCTCTGCTCCCTCACAAACGTGCTGGAGTGCTCCTCTTTGCTCTCACCCGCCTTCTACCGGTTTGTTTTGAACAATTTCGGCCGTGGGGGGATAATGACCAGGAGCTTTAATCGCTGTGTGGGCGAGTTTGTGCACGGGGCTGTGTGTGGAGCACATTAGCCCAGGGAAATGGCTTTAATCCCAGCCACGTGCAGCTCCTGAGGAGATCACAGACGGAGGGAAGGGGAAGGTGGTTTGTGTTTGATGGGGGCCCGACAAGAACAAAGTTTCCTTGCCTCCATTTCCCTGAAGTTCTGATATCTGTGGCTTCACAGGCATTTCTTCCCTCCCTCCCTCCCAGCGAAGGATGTCTGAGCAAAGCTGGCAGAACTGAATCATTAGGGGGAGAGCATAAATGGAAAGCAGCTTCCTGAACCCACAGCCTTTGTTAGAAACACATCTTTGTTAGGCATTCAGATGAAGTTCTTAAGCAGCTTAGGTAAAAGAAAGGGGATACAGAGTTAAAGGATTATTTCTTTTTCCAGTTCTGTTCAGTTCTTTGCAAAACTCAGATCTTCTTTCAGCCCTTTCTGTGTTTTTCCCTTTGTTGAACTTTCTCTGAACAAAGGACGTGAAATATCCACTTCCTAATACCTTATAAAATGCTTCTTTATCAGGAGAGCAAACTGTAACACTTAGTCTGGAGTATCCTCTGCTGGGGGA